CCATTTGTAGACCAGCCGCCAGCATGCCCCCAACAGGACTGCAGACCCTGTGCTCAAACTGTCATTGTCCCTGGACGTCACCAGCCTCTGGGTCACTGCCTGCTTCTTCAAGCAGAGTACCCACACCTTCTGCCCCCACAAAACAGACTTTGTGCTGGGTGTTGTGCTCAGAGCAGATGGATCTCTGAGGTCAAAGCCCAGCCTGGTCTACAGAGCAAATCCCAGGACATCCAGGAATACATAGTAAAAGCCTGTCTGAAAAACAAAAACAGCGAACAACAGCAAAAAAATAAACAGACACACCATACTTGTGTTCTCTGCTTGGCTGTGCATGTTCTTGGTGATGGGAAAGCTCAGCTCAGTCTGCCAGTGTGGGCCTTAGCTTTTATTGTAACACCCCCCCCACCCCCCGTCCTGAAAGACCATGTGCTGAAGGTGTGGTCCTGCTGGCAATATGGGGGTGATGACCTACAGGGCATGGGGCCTAGTGGAAGGAAGTTAGGTCATTGGAGGGATACTCAAAGGGACCCTCATCCCTCCATGAACACTTTTGCTCTACCATGTGATCGTACCATGATGTTCTTCTTCATCCCAGGCCCAACAACAAAAGGACCAGCAGACCATGGACTAAAACCTTTGGTCTTAGTCCCTAATAAACCAAAAATAAACCTTTCCTCTTTTTATCTTATCCTTGCTTCATAGTCACTTAGGGAAATTTATGACATCACAGCACATGGCATATGCTCAGGAAGCACTGGGGCCTCCTGCCCTCTTTCCTCTTTTCCTCCTCCCCTGGAGCCCTGTGGAGTTAGTTAGTACTATAAGTTGTCAGAAAGCTGAGACTCTGGAGGATAACCACTGGAAGGGCCTGAGGACAGGATAGGCCTGGGGTCGGTGGGAAAGGAAAGCAGAGGCTTCGGGCTGGAGGTGGAGCCTGTGAGAAAAGAACTACACTCTGCTTAGTCTGGAGGCTGACACATCCCATAGTGCCAGGCTCTTCTCAGTGGGGGTATCAGCTGATGTGATTCATATCCTAGTGCTCAGACAACAGTGCCTGAGGTCCCAAGACCCAGCTCAGAAGGTGCATAGGTCAGAGAGAAATGCTGGTGGTTGGGAACAACAGGCTGAGACTTCCCAGGGCTGACTACAGGCTCCAGGGAGGCACAAAGGGCTCTAAGGTCCTGGAGCCAGTCCTCTGGCGCCATCAAGTGGCCACCTTTACAAACTGTAGTTCCTCTGTTAGATTTTTTTTTTTTTTTTTACTCTATGATTCTCAACCTTCCTAACGCTGTAACACAGGTAATACAGGTTCCTCATGTTGTTGTGGTGACCCCTCCCCACACCATAAAATTATTTCGTTGCTACCTCATAACTTTAATTTTGCTACCGTTACGAATTGTAGTGTAAACATCTGATATGTTGCTTGGGGTCGCGATCCACAGGTTGAGAACCACTTGAGTTTGCCCAGTAGTAGAACTAATTAAGAGATTCTTGGAGTTTGCATGGGGCCCACAAGTCCTCTGTGCAGGCAGCCATTTGTTAAGTGGTGAGTAGCCTGGTTGTTACTGGCCTTCTGTGAAACCCAGTGTGTACATTCAAGCCAGCTGTAGCAGATCTAATCAAGGATTTTTCAAACAGCAGATACATTCACTGGGGAGGCTGTTTACGTGTGGTTTCCATATGTTTTTATCCTGTAAAGTCGTTTTTAAAAGCAGGCACAACATTGGGCAGAGAAAGAGAGTGGGTGCTTCCATTTCTCCTGCCAGTCCTCAGCTACGGGTGCTCAATGGCTGCCTGTCTGACAGGAATCTAACTGGAAGTTCCTCCTCCGTGGCACTGACGAGGTAACACCAGCCCTTGTGCTCCTTGAGTACAGAATCCCAGCAGATAAACGCAGCCACTGATGCCTGTGTTTCAGGGACAGCTTTCAGACTCCTGGGGCACCTCCAGCAGGATTCAGTATATAACTCTCACGGCTTTGTGAGGACAGACAGGAAGCTGGGGCCTCCTCATACTCACTGGAGCCTCCCAGATTGGGAGCACCATTTGTTGGAAGGATAGCAGAGCTTCAGGCCCTGAAGGAGCTTGCCTAAGGGGGCCTTTCTTGAATGTCCCTAACTGATGAAGAGGACCTCCTGGTCCTCCTGCATCACCACGGGGTTCATCCTGAGCACAAACAGGAGGACTAATAGACACTGGATGGTAGGCCACTTCATGAAGGGCCCCTGAGACCAAAACTCCCTGAGCAGGAGGTAGGAGGGAGAAACCCAGATAGGGCTGCAAACCTCAGCAGATATGGTGGCTAGTTTTATGACAACTTGACACAAGCTAGAGTTATATAAAAGGAGGGAAACTCAATTCAGAAAATGTCCATGTAAGATCTATCTGTAGGACATTCTCTTAATTAGTGATCAATGGAGAGGCCCCAGCCCATTGTGGGTGGTGCCATCCCTGGAATGGTGGTCCTGGGTAAGAAAGCAGGTTAAGCGAGCCACTGGGAGCAAGCCATCCCTCCATGGCCTCTACGTCAGCTTCTGCCTCCAGGTTCCTGTCCTGTTGCATTCCTGTTCCGATTTCCTTCAGTGACGGACAATGGATGCAGAAGTGTGAGACAAATAAACCCTTTCCTCCCCAACTTGCTTTAGTCATTGTGTTTCAGCACAGCAATAGAAACCCTAAGACAAGTTGGTGCCAGGAGAGTAGATTATGATGGCTTGTGAAGTTTCAGGGAAGAAAGACTCCACTGGGCCTTTTGTGCGAAGAATCTGTGGTGTCTGGTCAGCTGGAGCTGAGGAATTGGCTGTGACTGACAAGAGACCAGACACACTAAAGTGAAACCTTTGCTTTGCTGAAACAATGGCTGCTGGTCACTTATTGGTGATTAAGAAGAGACCAGAGTCACCGAGGTTGACCCTTCTGGGAAGTGTTTCCTCAGAGTCAGCACACAGATGCTGTGTCCAGAGGTTGTACTTCACACTGACAGCTAAATTTGGTCTTGGATAAGAGTCTCCCAAGTGCTCCTTGTTTTGAAGGCATGAAGGGGTCATGGAGAGCAACTGAAGCCTGGTACTTGAGAGACCAGGAGAGGCCACTAGTGAAGGTACAGCTGGAGTAGCAGTGGAAGCCTCTGAATTGAAAGGTGGAGAAGAAAGTTGAGGCTTGGCACCATGAAGAGAGCCCAGAAGGGGCTATTGATAAAAGCACAGCCCAGCTACAGCAGAACACCCCAGCATTCTGGAGATGTCAGTACCGTGGGAGGACCACCAAGAGAGCAGCAGCAGTGAAGTGGACCCAGTTGGAGCCTAGATGACAAGCTGTGTGTGCTGCAGAGGGTGGAGCTGGAAAAGTGACCCAAGCCTTTTGAAGGAGTGCAGAAGACTGTGGCTGGGCAGTGGTGGCGCACACCTTTAATCCCAGCACTTGGAAGGCAGAGGCAGGCAGATTTCTGTGTTTGAGGCCAGCCTGGTCTACACAGTGAGTTCCAGGACAGCCAGGGCTACACAGAGAAACCCTGTCTCGAAAAACCAAAAAAAAAAAAAAGAAAAGAAAAGAAAAAAGAAGACTGTGAGTCTTGGACGCTGACAGAGACATTGGATACTGAATTTTTAAAGTTGGGGTTTTGTTTTGCTTTGTTCAGATTGTGACTATGTCCTGATTCTTCTCTCTTAAAAATATACATATTTAATTTGTTTTTTTTAATTTTATAGGATTCCACGGTTGAGACTGGATTTTAAAAGAGACTGAAATTTTTTAAAGCATTTGCATTTATAAGACTGTAGGGCTTTAAGCTTGAAAATATTTTATACTATGATGTCCATATTAATGTGTAATCTTGGGGATGAACAAGAAAGGACAGGTTGTGGCTAAACAGTGATGTGTGTGTCAAGATAGCAAAGGCTCTCTGGAGTAGGTATGAGGCCCACTCTCTAGGGACTGGCTTTCTCCTAGCCCACCTAGGTCAGGGCATTACCAGACACTGCCCTGCTTGTGCCAGAGTTCCAGGATCAAGTGACACAACTGTCACATGTTTGCAGTAGGATGTTGGCAGGGCCCCCAACCAGTCCAAGGGGCAACAATGGGGCAGGACTATGGAAAGCCACATATGGCCAAGTCAGTAGGAGCCCAGGACAGGCAATGGGTTCCTGGGTCACCCTTCTCTAGTGTGGCTAGTGTGGATGCCTTAGACCTCCCTACCTAGCCTGGGTGACAGAGCTGAGCGCTTAAGACTGAAAGATGGGGAATGGAATCCCTGGCCAGCTCTGGAACCAGGGCTCTCTCCTTGTCCCTTCCTCTACCTGACCTTGTCCCCAGGCAAGCTAAAGGTCACCTGCTATAGGTACCGAAAGGCAGAGCATGAAATCTCAGCGTGTAGGACCAGAAACAAGTTGGGGTCTGGTTTTAAATGTTTCTAGACAGGGTTTTGCTATGTAACTGGTCTAGACTGACTGTGTAGCCCAGGCTCGTCTTGAGCTCACAGTAATATTCCTGCCTCAACGCAAGTGCTGGGAAACAGACATGTATCACTGGGCCCATCTTAAGCCAGGGTTTTGAGAATGCAACTGGCCTTCAAGGGCACTGTTTTCCGAATTATTAAGAGGACAGTTGGGAGGTGGCTGGTCAGGTGTCACCACTCAGAGGTTCTGCTCAGAGAACACCTGCTGCAGCTGTAACAGCAGTTTCTGGGTCTTATGGATACTTGGCCTTGGGAAAGGAGTAGGGACAGGGCTGTGCCTGCCTGCAGGTGAGGGAAAAAACGGATAAAGTGTTAGGGGAGGGGCAAGAGGGAAGCAGTGCCTCCCTTGGATAGCTGCAGCAATGCCACGATCCAGGCCATCTTGCCTCTGTCTCCATATGATACCATGCAAGGTACACGTAGGAGAGCTATGCCCACTATGCCCACCTCTGTCCTGTTTATCAGTGTGTATGACTCCCATATGCTTACAGCACAAGCAGGTGGCACACTAGAGGACCCTGGGGCAGGTTTTAGAGAAGGCACAGGCTATGTGTGAATAGCATTTATTTCTAATGTCGTCAACAAATATTTGAGCCTTCTGACTCCTTTCTGGCTGTGAATGGGATCTAGGGACACCAGGGCAAGAGATGACAGCACTGGCCATAAGCAGGATCACTGTTGGCCTCCAAAAGAGCCCAGTGGCCATGGAAAGCCACAGAGACTAAGTAGGTAAGTTGGACAAGATTCTACGATAGAGGTAGACAGGCATATGCCTGCCAAGGGAACCTCTGTCATCTGTCCCTGGCACTCCTCACCTTGCAGATCCTGGACCAGGGTACTCCCACGTCTCAGAGAACACCCCTATTGTACGCAGTGGGAGGCAGTGGCATGGGGCCTCTGTCTGAGGTCAGACCAACTTGCCTGGGAGCACATGCCTTTCTTCCAGCCCCGTCCCAGTATCAGTTAAGGCCTTGCTGGGCTAGGGAAAGAAGGGAAGTGTGTCCAAAGTTGTTTTGACCAAAGTGTTCACTGGAGTCCTCCTGGAAGTACCCCAGAGAATGTAGCACAACCCTCAGCAGGCTGTTTGCTGTCCAGTCATGAGCTGCGAGCCCCACATTGGACCACGAGAGAGCCACAGCACAGCCCTCAGCGGAGCCTCTTGCTGTCCAAGATGGCCTTCCAGTCGTCTGCCCACGAGTGCAGCCTACGGTGAGGGGGCTGCAGCTGCAGGTGGTAGTTGTGGCAGGAGGTAAAGAGGATGTGCTCCCAGCTGGGGTGTGACTCGGCCCCTATGGAGAGAAGCAGCAGCTCAGAGCAGACACTAGGGGCTAGGTGTAGCTTGCTGGGACCAAATCAAGAGCCATAAGAGTAGGTGTTGTGTTCACCTGACTCGGTTTCTTTGTCCAAAAAGTGACAATGCTCTATTAGCCTGTCCCACAGAAGGCCTGAGGGCGAAATAAGGCACTGTGCACAGGGTGACAGAGCAAGGCTGAGTGGACTCTGTCATCACACACTCCTGTGTCTTGCCAGTCACCTCTATGCCCATCCTGTGCTATCTCAAGTGCGAAGTCCCGGCTAGTATACCCTACAGTTCTACACTGTGCTGTGACTGGATAAGCTCCTTGGGATTGTGACCTGCCAGCTCCTCTGGAAGATTCTGGATTGAGAGAGGTTGGCCCCATACACAGACAGATGGGATGTCCCACTGGAGGGACTGGGGCAGGTAGGCGTGATTCCCCTGGCATTCAGCAAGCTTTAGGGTAGAAACTGTGTCTTCCTACTGATGTGCCCAGACAACTCATAAGAACTACCAGGAGGCTTTGTCCAGTGTAGCAAACCCAGGCAGAACACATCCAGGGAGGAAACTGTGGAATGACTAACAGAACTCTCAAATCTCACCATGCCTAAGGCCCTCCCTCTGCCCTGCCTTGTCAGCTAAGTGGACCAAGTTACTGGTTTGCTTCTTTTCTGGGAAGGGGTCATGAGCTGGAACCAAAAAAAAAAAAAAAAAAAAAAAAAGGACAAATGCAATGCTCAAGCCACTGTCAGTCAGAGACACCATACTGTGATTTCCTGTCATATAGTAAACTTACACAAACTACCTCTGAGGGGAAAAGAGGGCCGGAAGCTACTAAACAGAAAGATTTGAAAATCAAAGCTGGGTCTTCACCTGACTCAGGAAGGCCAACAGGTTACATTCAGTCTGGATAGGACACAGACATTCTGGCTTCCAGTAGCACCCTGTCCCTCCCTCTGTGCAGACAGAGCTTTCCCACAGGAAGAAGCTCCTGGCTGGGTAATGATAAACACCTGGTGATGGTGGGGTGGGCTGAGGACACCCCAGGAGGAGGGACTTAGGAAAAGGAAGAATGCAACCAGTGCTATCAACCCTCCCCCTGTAACCCCTTCCCCTGTCATGGGCCACTTGCCTGTGATGTCTGGCCGGTCATCTATGAGAAGGTCAGCAGAGACCACAGTCTTGTCTCTGGTCAACACAATTTGGTCCAGAAAGTCAGGGCCAAAGTGCTTCTCCACCCAGGCATACTGGAGGGAACAGAGGAGATGCAGTGTCAGATGGAGCTGGGGGATGGTTCAGCCTAGGACCCTGGCACTCAGGAGGGAAGCGGGCAGATATCAATGGCCAGTTCAGGCAGCTCTGTGCCCAGGAATTTGACACTTGGGAGCTTTGTACCTGCACACTTGTCCCCTAGGCTACAGAAGGGTCACAACTCAAACCAGGACTTGACATCCCCAGAGCTACATGGAATATGCTCTGAACCAATAAGGTCCGTCACACTGGTTGACACTGAGTCCTGGAGGGGCTAAGTGACTCCCTAAGGTGGCTGAATCACAAGAGAAACAACCAGTGAATCTGCCCAATATCTCTGCTAGGAATTGAGAGCTGAGACAGGTGCATTCAAACCATGTATGATGTACTAGGGGGAGGGGCAACTGAGTAGTAGCCTGGGGAAGAGGCCAGTTACAAAGAGCTTGATTGCCACACCAGTGCAAAGGGGGTGCTGTAGACAGCTGGTTCCCCGGGGAACACAGGAAAAGCACAGGTGTCTACAGGACTGACAGGCAGAAAGCTCGACTATCAGACCAGAGAAACAGCTACCACTGACAGAACAGTGTGCAGTCTAGCAGGCCACACTGTGGGGTTCAGAATGGCCCCTCCCTTTCCTAGAATACTTTGGATGCTGGGAAACAGCCTTCCTGTCTTTACCACCCCAGTGAAGCTGGCAGCAGATATGGTCTGACTAGCCTGGGTCTGGTTCTGTCAGAAGAACCAGGAGAGGGATGAGTGGGCCCTGGGCCCAAGGTTCCCAGCTGTGCCACTCTGCCCTTTGTGCAGCTGCATCTTGCCACCTGGCTATCCTTCTGCATTCTCCCTTGTCTGCTCACAGACCAAGACAGGTATGGATTTTAGTCAGGACAGCTTCTAGCAGAAGGGAACAGGAATCTTTGCCTAGATTCCTCTGGTCCCACCTGGAGTACAAACAGCAGCCAGAAGCTGGAAGAAGATGGCTGTAAGCACGTACTAGTTCATATGAAATGACTTCCAGAGGGAAAGGCTGTGTAGTCACCAAAGGGCCTGCAGCAAAGCCTCAGGCAGGTTTGTCCCAGCTGTGGCCTACGTGACTTGGAGACATGCACACACACACACAAACACACTCCTGACACAGCAAGTTCCTAAAACAGCCTCTACATCCCACTCCTGCTTCCCACTCCTCTACCTCCTTCACCTCACACTCCTCCTCCCTCCAGATGATGACCACAACCGTAGCCACATTATCTGTCTCCCTGCACGCTGCCTCAGTGGCCTCTGACATTCTTTAGGACAGGGACCATGGTTCTTTGGCTACCTGTCCAAATAACCAAATGAGCCAATAAAGAAGGAAGTCCTTTCTGGACAGACTACCTGAGGTTACTCTGACTGAGAAGGCTTTTTGGCCAAGGCCTCAGTGAAGCCAGGTGGTTCCTACTGGCCATCTTTCTAGAAAGATACCCTACCGCAGGGAAACCTATTAGTCTCATAAAGTAGCTTAGTAGGGTCAAAATGCTGCTTCATGCAGATGTATGGTGGTTGAGCTGAGTCCTTGGAATGCTTACCTGAGTGGGGTTTGGATCACCACCAAGGGTCAGGCTGGGGAGAAGACACCGGTAACCCTGGTGCTGGCAGTGATACAGAGGTGAGAATGCAAGACAGAGAAACCAGGGATGCTAAGGTAAGTGTACTTGATGTCCACTGCCTCCTTATCCCCATGACAACCCAGATGCACACATCCTTCCAACTCCTGCAGCTCTCGGCCCTGCCTGCCGTGAGGCACACTGAAGAAACTTGGAGGCCCCAGGCTTGCTCCAAGCAGAGGAGCCATAGCCCAGGCTCAGTGGCACAGGGTTCTGAGGTAGAACAGAGTCAGGCCCTGGGCACCGTGTTTTGCAAACCATTCATAGAGCTGGGGAAATTTCTCTTCTCTTTGTTAATTTCCAATCCACTGTAGCCAGCAGCTCTGTGAGTGACTGTCACGTGCTTAGATGCAGCATCAATATCAAGTCACCACAAGTGTCTGGTCCCACACACCCAGTCTCTAGGTCTCGCTTCTCTGGCAGGGCCTGGCTACAAATCACAGAGGAACAGCTGCACAAAATGAGCAGCACAGAGACCCACAGATCCTGTACAGAAAAAGAAACTGAAGTTCCAAGAGGGCGGGCGGGTTATGGCTGTCACCACTGCACTCTCCGGCCCTGGAGCTGGGTAGAGCTCCGGTTCCTGCCTGAGCTGACTGCACTGTGGCCTGGAAAATCAGAGCTAGTTTCTAAATGGACACTGCCTCTGCTCTGCCTTGTTCGTCCTTGGGAAGCTGCCAGATCCACGTGCGGTAAGTACAGCGTTGTGATGCTTATTCTTGGTAGTCAACATGGATTCATCTCGGGTATTTTTTATACTGATGGGAAACTGGCTAACAAAACCATCTACTAGTGCCGGTGTGTATTACTGTAACTGAACTTTACTAGCCCCGAATAATCTACAAAAAATTAGGACTACAGTAAAACCCAAGCGGCTAGGTACACCTGTGAGGGATTTTTCTTAGTTAAACTATTTGAAGTGGAAAGACCCTACCTTTAATCTGGGCCACACCTTCTGCTGGCAGCCTTCATAAAGGACATGGAAGAAGGAAGCTTGCTTTCTTCTCCTGACTGCTCTCACTGGAAGTCCATTCCCTCCCTGGCATTACAGCCTACTTCTTTGGGATTCGGGATGTACTGAAGACCAGCCAAGGCATCGAGCTTTGTGAACCGAACAACTCCTGGATTCCTGGGCTTTCTATCAGTAGACAGCCACTGTTGGACTGTAGCCTGTAAGCTACTCTAATAAATCCCAAATACATGTGTGTGTGTACGTGTGTGTTACGTATGTATGTATATACACACACACACACATATACATATATATTTATATATATATTTATTTTATCAATTCTGTTCCTCTAGAGAACCCTGACTAATTCAAGCATCTTCTGTCTCATGGGTGGGAAGATGTGTGTGGAAGCCCCTGTACTGCACCCAGCATGCAGTGGGCACAGGAAGAATTCTAGCTCTTGGTTTCACCCACACCGGAAGCCCCAGGTCCTTCCCACTCCACAGTTCTGACAATGACTGGATTCTGGGACCTCCTAAAATTGTGCACCCTCAGGATATAGTTGGAATGATTACATTAATGTAGAAGAATGCTACAGTGTCCCTCGGAGGCCTCTGTGGTAAAGGATTATTTCCCACGGTGGCACAGTGAAGACTGCTGACCTGTGAGAGGCTAGACCTTGTGGGAGATCTTTGGGTCACTGAAGGTCTCAAAGGGGTTTGTGAAACCCCGGCCTTTCTCTTCCCTCTTTTTGCTCTCTAGCTATGAGGGAAGTGGTTTTGCTCTCTAATGGCTTCTGCCATGACCACAGGCTGCCTTACCACAGACCCAAGGCAAGGAGCCAACCAATCAAACCTCTGAACAAAGAAAAACCTTTTCTCTTTATAAACTGATTTATGTTGGGTATTTTTTATAGTGGTGGTAACCTGGCTAACACAAACATCTACTAATGTCCAGTATATATTACTGTAACTGAACCTTAATAGCCCCCAGATAATCTACAAAAAATTAGAACTATTAAAAGTAGATGATACAATATGCAAAATCACTTATATTTCTATTCATCTGGAGATTGTAACTAGGCAAAAATGTTTTACAAAAAATAAACTGAAACAGGCTGGACTATTCAGGTGAAATGTCTACGAGAGGAACTTCTATGTTATATGTATTTAACACATTAAAAAGCTTTTAACTAAGCCAGACTTATAACGAAGATCTGAAGTCCCAGCTACTTGGAAGGTAGAGGCTAGGGGTAACAATGCCCTCTGTGAGCTTGGTCCACTCACAGCAATAATATGTACTACAGGCTAGACAGTCTGATGGAGGCATTTTCTCAATTGAGATTCACCCAGATAACTCTACCTTGCGTCCGGTTGACAAAACAACTCAACCAGGATAACCATCAAAGATCCAGAACAGACAAGGCAAGCTGGGAGTAGCACATGGGGGTGGAGGTGTCAGCCAGTGGCTGCGGAGGCCCCAACCATGGCCACGGGTAATAAGAGACCTGAGGTAGGTAGCAGCTCGGAGGGGTGGGGGGATGACGACACCTCAGGTGTCAGGGAGGGAGTGCAGGGAGAAAGGGTGGGAGGCTGCCTGCTCTGGCACGAGCATCCCACTTAGTGAGTAAATGAGACAAAAGAGACAGAAACTGAGGCGTTGGCCTGGCTTTTTACAGCTAAAAGGATAGGGGACCCAGATTAGACCAGAGATACAAAGCTCCTCCTGGAACCCTAAAATCTAAAACCCATGGGAGGAGTCAAGCCGTGATGAGAGTCGGATTGATGTTGAAGCAACAAAAGGCACCCTGTGAGTCCAGCCTTCCATACAAAGAAAACCCAAGAACCAGCATGCAGACAGGGGTCTCCACAGCCGTCTGGTGTGAGAGACCGCGGTCATCAGAGAACATTCAGTGCTGGGATTGCTGGAATTAGGGGAAAGCTTTAAACAATCGATCAAAGACTTTCTCATGGCCTGGCTTGTGAGGTTATGGGATGTGCGGGCAGACAGGATCAGTCTGAGTGCTGCAGAAGCAGAGGAATGGAAGGACATAACCACGCATCCCTCCTTGGGACACAAGCTGCATATCCTGAGGCAGTACAAGGAACCAGTCCTTGCTCTTAGGAGCCATTAGAGATGCTTGGTCATCAAGTAGCTAAGGTCCCCATAGGTATCCGGGGCTGGAGGACAATATGGAGGGACAGGCACTACTGAGGGAACTATGCATGAGGGCAGCAATGTGTGATGCCCCGTCACAGGGCCTGAGAGGATGGTGTTCACCAGAGACTTAAGGAAGACTGGATTAGCAAGGACCTGGAGGCTGGCGTGGAGCTTTAGTGGCTTTGCTGAGCCCTTCGGTGGAGTAGGAAAGGCTTTGAAGGAAGGTGACTTACAGCAGGAT